CCCGGCAGCCCGGGCGGGGCAGCAGGGCGCGTGCCAGGCCCCGTCACCCGCAGGACTCCAAGAAGCCACAGCTCCAACTGCCACCCCGGATCCGCAGGACTCCCACACTGACCTTCTTCAGGGTGAGGCTCCTGACCTGGCGGGCGGCTCGGGCTCTTCCCCGGGGCACCCAGCTCCCCGCCTCTCTGCGCCGGGGTGGCGCCCGGGGGCGGGGAGGAGCAAGGACCCCAGGACCACCCCCGGTGGCCTCGGCCGCCATAGCCAGGCCCCCGCCCCCCACCCACAGCCTAACGCTGCCCCGGTCAAGCTGAACACCGCTGCCATCCTGCGGGAAGGGGCCCTGTACCAGCAGCAGGTGGAGAGAGAGCTGCAGAGGTGGGCGCGGGGGCCGGCCGGGCCCTGTGGCCGGGAGGTGGCGCTGCGGGGCGGTGGCTGCCGGCTCAGGACCGAACCAGCTCAGCAGAGCGCTGCCCACTCACCGCCAGGCTGCAGACCCCGGGGGCTGGGCGGTGGGTGCAGGGGGAGCTGGCCAGGCAGAGGAGAGGACAGACAGAGGGACGCCTGGGCAGCCAGGTGGGTGGAGGGGTGGTGGGTGGACAGAGGGGTGGGCGGGGCCACGGCGGACCACCCGATGGACAGAGGACTGGTGGGTAGGGAGTGGAGTGCACGAAAGGAGGCTGGGAAGGTTGGCCGAAGGGTGGGCGCACGGGGGCAGGTGCGCTGCGGGGCGGGGGCTGTCGGCCGAAGAGCAGCCCAGGCCCGTGAGGCCGCTGCCCAGGGCCCCGGCGCTGGACCGCGCACGCCTGGCCTCTTGCCAGGGTCGACAAGCTGGTGGACGGGGCCGGGGACTTCTCCGAGTTCCTCCTGTGGCAGAAGAGGATGCAGGCCAAGGGCCGGGAGGAGCAGCTGGCGGCCAGCGAGTGCCGGCGGCTGCAGGGCCAGCTCAGCCACGAGGAGGCCGCGCTGGCCCGGCAGCGCCTGGTGCTGGAGAACAGGCGGAAGGCGGACAGGAAGAAGGAGGAGGTGGGCGGCGCGGCCGGGCGTGTCCCCGGGGGGCCCGGACTCCAGGGCCCCGCCCAGGCACAGCGAAGGATGAGCGGGTCTCGGGGAGCGGGCCTGCGCCCCGTTTGACGGGCCTGGTGATCTGGGCGGGCTTCCTCCCCCTCGGTGCCCCTCCCGGACCATGTGCCGTCAGAGCGGTCCGAAACGCTGTCGGCAGAGAGGTGCGGCAGGAGCTGGGGTGCAGGCTGGAGGTGCCTGCCGGGGGTGAGCTGCTTCCCCAGAGACAGAGTGGGGGGCAGTCCACGGGCGGCGGCCAGCAGCTGACGCTGTTGGAGGGCTCCCACCCCGTGGCCCCTTCCAGCCCGCCCCTCCTGGCCCTCTGCAAGGCCGACAGCACCCCTGTGCAGGGGGCGCCAGCGGGGCCCCTCAGGGGCGGTGGGGTTGGTGGCAGCCGGCCCCGGAGCCCGGCCCTGCTGGCAGAGGCTTGGCCAGCGCCGCCCCCCACCCGGGGCCGCCTGGAGGTGGCGGCTGGGGCCTCCTGCCTGCCTGCCTGGGGTCTCCGGCGCCCCTGCGGCGCCCCCTCTCCCGCTCCCTGCCTCCTCGGGGCGCAGAGCTCTGCTTTGGGGCGGCAGGACGCTCAGGCCCGCTGGGCTCTCTGGCAGCCGCAGGGGGCCCGCCGGTGTCGGGGAGCGCGCAGGTGGGGCGTCTCCGCCCGACGCCCCGGCAGGGAAGGGCCTGATTCCCGGGCAGTGGGGCCACTCTGCCCGCGGCAAGGGACCCGATGGCTCTCTTGGCTTGATTCCATCCGCTGGGAAAGCTGGGTGTCACCGGGCTCCCTGCAGAGGCGCCCTGGGAGGCACACCACCGCCCCCCAGTGGCGGGTCTCCCCCCCAACACCCGCTTGTCGGCCCGAGTCCCCCCAGGCAGGTGCAGGGGCTTTCCTGTGAGGAGGCCGTGGGTGGGCTCCCTGAGTCTGGGGAGCAGCTCCCTGAGTCGGGGAGCAGCTCGCTGAGTCGGGGAGCAGCTCGCTGAGTCGGGGAGCAGCTCGCTGAGTCGGGGAGCAGCCTGTCAGGGCTGACCTTTGCGGGAGGGGGCTGGGCCCGGGACGGGCAGGGCAGCAGCCGGCTGGGGGCAGCGGCCCAGCATCAGAGAGGGGTGTGGTGCCGCTGCCCCACGCCCGGCCAAACCCGCTGGCCGCCAGCTCTTCTGCTGCACCCGCGTGCGGCACCCCCAGCCCTGCCTGGCACTGTGCCCCCAGGCCCCCAGCCCCCCAGCCCCCCAGGCTGAGCGGCACCACCAGCCTCGTTCCGGCGTAGACACGGAGCCGGCGGCGCACGTTGGCCCCGACCACAGCTGGGGGTGGGCCGGCAGGACTGCGGGCCCAGGGCCTGCGGCCTGCCCTGTCCAGCTGCAGCGACGCACAGCCGCCCCTCCGCCAGGATGGCCCCGGCGGCGGGCCTCAGCGACCCTGAGAGCCCTGCGCCCCCCACACGCCTCCCCAGGACACCGGGGCTTCATCCTCGCCTCTGGGCCACCAGGCCGCAGGGAGGCAGGGCGCGGGCGTCCCTCTGGCCGGCCACTGCGGGCCAG